AAAAATGGGGAAACTGAGGCAAGAGAGGTAAAGTAATAGCATTATCACAGTGATGACTTTATTAACCATAGGAGCCACAATTGCTAAAAATTAAGGACTGCAAAATGAGCTAGGCCTGTTACCACAATTATGCAAAGGTTGGTAATAATCACATGTGCAAATAAACTACGATAGATTTTTTCTAAAAAGTCTGGCTCTCTCTTTTCATGCTCTGAGTGACCAAAACTGCTCCAACTGGAAAATACTCAGTTTTGCAGCAAAACTAATATATATATTTTCCTTTTTGAAAAGTTTTGGGATGATGAAGGATTAAGGGCAAAAATCCCCTCCCTCCCCATCCCTCGGTATGAATGGTTAAATGAACATAGAAGAATAAAAAAGTTAGAAAGAAGTGGTAAAACACAGTGTCATGAGGCAGATAAATGCAAGCTTTACTGAGATTTAATGTGGGATCTCAAATTAGTCAGAGGGAGGCATGAGTTACTAAAGAGAGCAGCCCCCACTCCAGCTTACTAATTAATCAGGCACAAAAAGCTCATCAAGGAACAGCCCAGCGATGAGAGGCAGACTGAGACAAGGTTATCCTGAAGGTTAAAGACACAGGGCTTTTTAAAATTAAATAATAAAGGGGAAAAAAAACCCCTTCTGACATTCTACATTGATATAATATTAAAGTACCGATTTAAATCAACAGAAGGCAGGAAATTCAAGACTGGCAGCTGATGCTGCATTCTTAAATCATCTTGGTGAAGTAAACTACAGCACAATAGCTAGTGTTAATGATGGGGCATCAGTTGTACCTTACCGTTTTCTGGCCTTTGTTGCAAATGCTGGAAATGTAATTGTATTAAAATTTGTACCTTTCAGGGTTGGTGTCTTCGTACTTAGGCCACTAAACCCTCACACTTCTTTTACTGAGGAATCTAATTGCTTTAGGTACTATCAGGATGGTCCGTATGGAGGGGTTAAAGAAATGGGAGTGGCAGGATCTTGAACTCATCTGAAAATCCAGCTCTGACTGTGGATGTTAACCACTTACAAATCTGGCAGTAAAAACACTCTGGAATGGGCTCCGCATCCATTAATATGGAAGTTTTGTGACAGATCAGTTATTTACTTGAGAAAGTAGCTCTTGGTTAGAAACTGTATGTAATTTCAGGGAAGGGTTTTATGCATCTACTAGACAAAAATGTTATTAAGGACAATGCTAATTACTCTGGCTACCAAGAAATGATGTCCTCAGACTAATAGCTACCTTGTCATTAGGTGGTTAGCATGGGTGCACCCTACTGCCCTCTCCTGCCTGGAATTAGATCTGCTCAACTGTGTGGCCATAGTTGTTACAGAGCTAACCACACTTGATCTGAGTCCCCAAGAGGCGGAGAAGCGATTCTCTTCTACCTTTTGTGATAAGGTATGCACTTTTAGAGCAGGAAGATCTGAGGTCTGTCCTCGCTACTGTTGGAAAATTCTGAATGGCCATGGTATGCAAGAGAGTGACAACCATGAAATAACAGGGAGTGATGGATTTGTTACAATATCCTTCTATAGCCAATATCTATATAGCCATGCAACTAGGTAGTTATTTTTTAAAGCAGTTTTTTCTTTGTCAGCAGTGAGGATTCTTCTGAAATTAATATAACATATAGAGCACGCAAAGAAGGAAAAACCTTGGGACATTCACAAATTTTGCAGATAGTGTTCAAATATGGCTTCTTTGTATCTGAATTATCCATCCATAACATCCCATCTATTGTGAGCTGTGAATAACAATAGGACTTCGACTTCTGATCTGTTAGTTTTACAGTTGACCCAGATCCATCCCTAGTACTCATAGGTCATATTACCAAAACGTCACTGCAGCCGCTTCTCCTCTTAACAGGTTTATAAGTGGGGACAAGGGCAGCATTAGCCAGGGCTACTCTTCCATTTGTTGAGGTGGCCCCTTCAGACCGCAACTGAAGGCAGTTAATAGGACAGGGTTGGGAAGCTTATACTGCAACTATATTAGCTGCTATTCCAGCTGTACAATATCCATTCAAAGCCTTTCACGAACACTGAATCATCTCAAAAGTTATAAGCAGTAATATGAATTGTGTATGCCATGGCCTGATCTTTCTTAATGCAAATCAATAACCTTCTCAATACAAATCAGATTTTTTTTTTACCAATGTAATTTTTTGTGTGATGGGACCACACTAGTAGGACCAGTCCCTCTAAACTCCCTGGGGTATTATCATGTAATTCATAGAACATATTATCATGCAATTGATAGAACATATACTATCTGTAATAAAACTGTTACCAATATTTATAGTCAGAAGGCTGGGTGCCCATGTGTGTCAGCTGATTTTCAGTCCAAATAACCCACCCATTTTATTTGTCCAAAGACTCAATGTGATTTAATTGCATTAGAAGGAAGGATGGTTTTGTAGACAAAGCACTAGGCTGGGACTTGTGAGTTACATTCTAGGCTCTCTAGAGAATGAGGGTAAATCTCTTGTGCTCAGCACCTTGAAGAATTAATGGGAGTTATGTGCCTATACACACTAAAGTAGGAACAATACTACTTCATTTTTTTCATCCTTTTTCTGTCTTGTCACTTTAGAATATGGGCAGAAGGAGAACTTACTGAGAGCTATATTTGTGTGTGCATTTACAGCGTGTCAGCTACTCTGTGCATGCTCTTACCTCAAGTAAATACAAGGAATCTTGTCCCACTATTGTTGAGGGGTAAGCTATCTCACATTTATAATGAGGGTAAATTCACACCTTAGCTTACCTTGCAGTAACCTGTTTGTGTAGCCAGAGCCTTAGGTCTTTAGGGCAGGGGTAATTTCTTATTATGTATAGCTAATGCATTTAGCACAATAGGACCCTCGTCTCAGTTGGATCCACTAGGCATTAATGTATTAAAAGAAATTGCAGTGACAACAGAATAATTGCCTGAAAAATGTCACTTTCTGCAGCTGAGTTCCTTTGAGAGCTGTACAAATAC